GTGTCTGCCCGTGTGTGTGTCTGTGTGTCTGCCCGTGTGTGTGTCTGTGTGTCTGCCCGTGTGTGTGTGTCTGTGTGTCTGCCCGTGTGTGTGTGTGTCTGTGTGTCTGCCCGTGTGTGTGTCCGTGTGTCTGCCCGTGTGTCTGCCCGTGTGTCTGCCCGTGTGTCTGCCCGTGTGTGTGTCTGTGTGTGTGTCTGTGTGTGTGTCTGTGTGTGTGTCTGTGTGTGTGTGTGTCTGTGTGTGTGTCTGTGTGTGTGTGTGTGTGTCTGTGTGTCTGCCCGTGTGTGTGTGTGTCTGTGTGTCTGCCTGTGTGTGTGTGTGTGTGTCCGTGTGTCTGCCTGTGTGTGTGTGTGCGTTTGTGAGACAGTGTGTATCAGTGAGGAAGGAAATGAAAGCAATGAGAATATTTCACACCATCAGATCTTGATTTCATTAGTGCACACTGCAGAATAGCTCTTTATTCAGTTAATAATGTACTTTTACATTTTCACAATGCTCTCCTCCTCTGACTCTCCATCTGTCTCTCTTTCTCTTCCTCTGTCTCTCTTTCTCTCCCTCTGGTCCTTCCTCTGTCTTTTTCTCCCACTGTTTCTGTCTGTCTCTCTGTCTCTCTCGCTCTCTCTGTCTCTCCTTCTGCCTGTCCGTCCCTGTCTCTGTTTCCCTCTGTCCCTGTCTCTGTTTCCCTCTGTCCCTGTCTCTGTGTGTCTGTCCCTGTCTCGACGTGTCATTCTCTGTCTGTCCCTGTCTGCCTGTCTCTGCCTGGACTAGAACCTGCTGTCATGTGATTTTTGACCTTGTCCTCCTGAATGACTGACTACACAAACCACTTTCTGGATTCCACTGTCCACAATCCAGACACTGAATCCTTGTTTATTTCCCTTCTGGTGTCTACGGTGTAGGCTACATCATCGCAGTGTTCAAAGGGGAGGCGCTGGGATCGCAGGTTACATTGATAGTGAGGGTGATGGATGGCTCGGGGTGTATGTTCTTGGAATTGCGCAGGCTCAGAATGACTGTTCTATTCTTCTCTCTCTCTCTCCAACCACCCCCAACTCCCAGTTCCGTAACTGTATGATCACCACGATCTGCTGTGGCAAGAATCCATTCGAAGAGGATGAGTCTGCCTCAGTTAGTGCCAGTAAGACTGAGGCTTCATCCGTCTCCTCCAGCCAGGTGGCCCCTGCGTAAATGTGCCAGCTCGCCAGGCACAGGTTGGCACGTGGTGTTGAAGCTGAATTTTCCAAACAAAACAAGCCATCTTGTTGAGATTCGAAGGACCATGATTTCAAAACCAGTCCAAGTGTTCTAAAGTAGTGGAACTTTTCATCTGCATGGTGAAGATTTGAACAGAATTTGAACAAAACTTCCATCTTGAGCTTTGTGATTTAAACAGTGGCAGTGAGTCTCCCACACTGTCACGTTGTCAGGGTATTGTGCACTCTAAATCCACCCAGATGTCTAGGAACCCCCACCCACCCCCATTATATTTAAAGCTCAGATCCTTTCTCAAATAAGCCCTCCTACTGGCGATACTCCAATGTAATTTCCCTGTACAGGTCTGATTTAGCTAATGTAGAAACCGTTCAAATTAATAAAGAGCACGTTGCAAATAATCTGCCTGTTGGTTTTCATTCCACCCCATCTCCTCCGAGAGGTGCCAGTCTTTGGCGGTCTTCCCTTCTGCCCCCCGAAAGCCCCTTAGTCACTTCATTGTTGAGAAAGCCCATGCCCAAGACTTGGGTGGATGTGGAGAGGGTTCTAAAGGCTTCTGGATGGGTCTATGAATAGAAGGGTTTAGAAGAATATGGGCCAAATGCTGGCAAATGGGACTAAATTGGTTTAGGATATCTGGTCGGTGCAGATGAGTTGGATCGGCGGGTCCGTTTCCATGCTCTATGACTGTATAAACCCTTCTTCTACCTTCCCCATCAGAGAGCGCCTGGCCTCAGAACTCATCCCTCACTTTGTTTCTCTTATCAAGAGATCTTGAGTCGTTTAGGCCCATACTCTCTACAGTTTAGAAGAATGACAGGAGATCTAATAGATGGATATAAGATGCTAAAGGGATTGACAAAGTAGAGGCAGAAAGGGCTTTTCCTCTTGTGGGCCAATCTAGCACAAGAGGTCATAGTTTTAGGATAAGGGGTTACAGATTTAAAACAGGGAACAGAAGAAATTACTTCAATTAAACGGTCGTGAATCTGTGGGATTTACTATCCCAGACTGCAGAGGATGCTGGGACATTGAGTAAATTTAAGGAGGGGATAGATTTTTAATTAATAATGGGTTGAAGGGTTATAGGGAGCAGGCAGGAAAGTAGGGTTGAGGCCAAGATTAGATCAGTTATGATCATATTAAATGGTAGAGCAGTCTCAAGGAGCTGAATAGCCTACTCCTGCTCCTATTTTTGATGTTTCTGTGTTTAATGCCTTGATGAGACAGCAGATTGCTGACTCGGTGACTGGTCTCTGGCCAATATCTGACAGAATCTTGATGGTGAAGTTAGAAGGAAGGTCTTTCAACTTTCAACCTGATTTAGATCTATAAAGACACCAAAACGTTCTATTCTAACGTCCAAACAGTTCTGAAGTACACCAGTTCAGGCAATTAGCAAGGCTGATTTCAATGCAAAAGTGGGGCAAGGGAAAGTTTAATTTGTTACCAAACCAGCATTGCCTGGGCTCAAGGAACAGAGATAAAGTTGTAGAATCATAGAATCATACTACAGCACAGAGAAAAAGGCCCTTTGGTCTATCACATCCACTCTGGTCACAAACAACCACCCAACTATTCTAATCCCATTCTCCAGCACTTACCCCATAACCTGGTATGCCTTATCATTGCAGGTCCACATCTAAATACTTCTCCAATATTATGTTTGTTTTTGCCTCTACTGCCCTCACAGGCAGTGAATTCCCATCACCCTGTCAGTGAAAAATGTTTCCTCACATCTCCTCTAAAGTTCTGCCCCTTACCTTAAATCTATGCCCCCTGAGTATTGATCCCTCCATCAAGGTGAAAAGTTGCTTCCTGAACTGGATTGAGACCAATATCCTGGCGGGCAGATTTGCTAGTGCTGCAAGGGAGGGTTTAAACTGGATTGGCAGGGGGGTGTGGGACCCTAAACAGCAGGGAGACAATTTCGAGGCTGGAAGGGCATACTGTAATCAGAAATAGCAAATTGAAGAGACAGGTCAGGCTGGAATACGACAGGGAGCGAGGAAAGCCTGTTGGATTAAATTGCATGTATTTCAACGCAAGAGGGCTGACAGGTAACGCCGATGAACTCTGGGTGTGGATAAGTACGTGGGACTGGGATATTATAGCCATTAGGGAAACATGGCTAAGGGAGAGACAGGGTTAGCAGTTTAATGTGCCAGGGTACTGGTGCTTTAGGTGGGACAGAGGTGGAGGAAAGAAGGGAGCAGGAGTTGCATTGTTGAGTCTCATGGCAGTAGTCAGAGATGAAATAACTGAGGGATCATCCAGTGAGGCTTTGTGGGTGGAGGTTGGAAATAAGAAGGGAATGGTGATGTTATTGGGGTTGTACAATAGGTTTTATGTTATCTATATCAATGATTTGGATGAGAAAGTACAAGGCATGATTAGTAAGTTTGCAGATGACAGTAAGGTAGGCAGTATCGTGGACAGTGAGGAAGGTTACCAGAAATAGCAGCAGGATCTTGAACAGCTGGGGAAGTGGGCCAAGAAATGGCAAATGGAGTTTAATATAGATAAGTGTGAGGAGTTGCATTTTGGAAAGTCAAATCCAGGTAGGAGTTTCATGGAGAATGGTAGGGCCTTAAGGAGAGTAGTGGGACAGAGGGACCTTAGAGCTCAGGTGCTCAGTTCTCTGAAAGTGGAGTCACAGGTAAACAGGACAGTGAAGAAGGCTTTTGGCACACCGGCCTTCATCAGTCAGGGCATTGAGTTTAGAAGTTGGGAAGTTATGTTGCAGTTATACAGGACATTAGTAAGTCCGCACTTGAAGTATTGTGTTCAGTTTTGGTCATCTTGCTCAAGGAAGGATGTTATTAAACTAGAAAGGTTGCAGAAGAAAATTACAAGGATGTTGCCAGGAGTCAAGGGACTGAGGTACAGGGAGAGGTTGGACAAACTAAGATTTTTCACTTTAGAGCATAGGAGACTGAGGGGGGATCTTATAGAAATGTATAAGGTCATGAGTAGCATGGATAGGGTGAATGCACTCAGTCTTTTTCTCAGGGTTGGGGAATTGAGGATTGGAGGGCAGCAGTTTAAGGTAAGAGGGGAAAGAATACATAGGGACCTGAGGGGCAACCTTTTTACACAGAGGGTGGTACACATATGGAATGAGCTCCCTGTGGAAGTGGTTGAGGCAGGTACTTTAGCAACATTTAAAAAGCATTTGGATGAATAGGTGGATAAGAAAGATTAAGAAGATTATGGCCAAGTGCAGGGAAATGGGGTTAGCGTGGATGGACATTTTGGTTAGCATGGACCACTTTGGGCTGAAGGACCTATCCATGCTGTAGGACACTATAACTCTAATCCTATGTGCCCCCTTGTAATTTTATACACCTCAAGCATAGCCCTCTCAATTTCCTCTGCTCTAAGGGAAGCATCCCCAGTCTGTCCAATTTCTCTTCATAACTGAAACTCTCCAGTCCAAGCACCATCCTGGTAAATCTCCTCTGCACCGCCTCCAGTGCTATCACATCCCTCCTGTAATGTGGATTCCAGAACTGCATACAATACTCTAGATGTGGCTCTACGAGTGTTTTCTACAGTTCCAGCATCGCTTCCCTGCTCTTAAACTCTATGTCTCAGCTAATAAAAGCAGGTATCCCTTCTGAAGAAGGGTCTAGGCCCGAAACATCAGCTTTCCTGCTCCTCTGATGCTGCCTGGCCTGTTGTGTTCCTCCAGCTCCACACCTTGTTATCTCAGATATCCCATGTGCCTTCTTAATCGATTTATCCACCTGTCCTTTCTCTTTCATTCATAGGATGAAGGCATCGCTGGCTAGGCCAGCATTTATTGCAGTCCCAGGGGGCAGTTAAGAGTCAAACACGTTGCTGTGGGTCTGGAGTTATTTGTAGTCACTTATAGACCGTTGCTTCCTGCCTTTTTACTTTAAGGGACCGGTGTACACACATACCGAGGACCCTCTGATCCTCAGTGCTTCCCAGGGTCCCACAGTTCATCATGTATTCTCTTGCCTTGTTTGTCCTGCCCCTATGCATCACTTCACCCTTATATGACTGAATTCCATTTACCACTGACCAGCCCATCTATATCCTTTTGTAGTGTCAGGTTATCCTCCTCATTATTTACCACCATGTAATTTTTGTAACATCTGCAAACTTACCGATCAATCCTCCTACATTCAAGTCTAAATCCCTTGTATAAGACACAAACATCAAGGGCCCTAACATTGATCCCTGTGGGACACCATAGGACACAAACCTCCAGTCAGAAAAACACTGCTCAAACATCACCCTCTGCTTCCTGTTTCTTTATCCAATTTCCTTGGATCCCATGAGTTCTTACTTTTGCGGTCACTCTCATGGATTGAAAGTGGTTGTATTTAGCAGAATGAATCATTTTGTAACATCAGCCTGAAAGAAAATAGTGAACGTGGAAAAGTGTTGAAGATGGAAAGGCATGGTTAACACTGCTGCCTCACAGCACCAGGGACCCGGGTTCAATTCCACCCTCGGGCGACTGTCTGTGTGGAGTGTGCACATTCTCCCTGTGTCTGCGTGCATTTCCTCCGGGTGCTCCGGTTTCCTCCCACAGTCCAAAGACGTGCAGGTTGGTGGAGCTGGGATGCTCTCTGGAAGGGCGGTGTGGACTCAGTGGGCCGAATGGTCTGCTTCCACACTGTAGGGGTTCTATGGCTATCCCAATCAGGGAGACTATGCAGTAAGAGAGTAAGCCAAAGAATTAAAAACTATTCTCAACAGGTAGGGACCTATCCAGGAGTGATGATAACCAGTGACAAAAAACTCAGGGAAGGAAGAAATGCCAGAATTCAAGCAGCTGTACAATCTAAACATGCTGTTGGCTACAGAAATGGAAAAAGTATAGAACTGCAGTTTATAAAATGTTTGATGTGCTAAGTACAAGGACAAAAGAGCTGAATTCCAAAGATGAGTTGAGATTGACAGCCTTTGACATCAAGGCCACATTTGACCTAGTGTGGCATCAAGGAGCACTAGCAAAACTGGAATCAGTGGGTATCAGGGGGAAAACTCTCTGATAGATGGAGTCATACCCTGACTCATAGGAAGATGGTTGTGGTTATTGGAAGTCAATCAGCTCAGCTCCAGGACATCTCCGCAGGAGTTCCTCAGAGTAGTGTCATAGGCCCAACCATCTTCAGCTGCTTCATCAATGACCTTCCCTCCATCATAAAGTCAGAATTGAGGATGTTTGCTGATGATTGCATAATGCTCAACAACATTCGCAATTCCACAGATATTAAAGCAGTCCATGCTCAAAGGTAACAAGATCTGGACAATATGCAGCTTTGGGCTGACAAATGTCAAGTAACATTTGCATCATACAAATGCCAGGCAATGACCATCACCAATAGGAGA